GACAATATTATAACATCAGAAAAATTACAAAAAAATGTAAAAAAAATAAAATACTAAATTTGAATGCAGATTGTTAGAGAATCGCTCCAGAAACATTTAGAGGTATGCCACTCCAAAATCCGATTTATATAGGTTGAGTTATGGACTTTTGAACTTCAGCCATGGGACATATTTGAACTTTTTTGAATTTCGACAATCAGAAAAATTACAAAAAAATGTAAAAAAAATAAAATTCTAAATTTGAATGCAGATTGTTAGAGAATCGCTCCAGAAACATTTAGAGGTATGCCACTCCAAAATCCGATTTATATAGGTTGAGTTATGGACTTTTGAACTTCAGCCTTGGGACATATTTGAACTTTTTTGAATTTCGACAATATTATAACATCAGAAAAATTACAAAAAAATGTAAAAAAAATAAAATACTAAATTTGAATGCAGATTGTTAGAGAATCGCTCCAGAAACATTTAGAGGTATGCCACTCCAAAATCCGATTTATATAGGTTGAGTTATGGACTTTTGAACTTCAGCCATGGGACATATTTGAACTTTTTTGAATTTCGACAATCAGAAAAATTACAAAAAAATGTAAAAAAAATAAAATTCTAAATTTGAATGCAGATTGTTAGAGAATCGCTCCAGAAACATTTAGAGGTATGCCACTCCAAAATCCGATTTATATAGGTTGAGTTATGGACTTTTGAACTTCAGCCTTGGGACATATTTGAACTTTTTTGAATTTCGACAATATTATAACATCAGAAAAATTACAAAAAAATGTAAAAAAAATAAAATACTAAATTTGAATGCAGATTGTTAGAGAATCGCTCCAGAAACATTTAGAGGTATGCCACTTCAAAATCCGATTTATATAGGTTGAGTTATGGACTTTTGAACTTCAGCCATGGGACATATTTGAACTTTTTTGAATTTCGATAATATTATAACATCAGAAAAATTACAAAAAAATGTAGAAAAAATAAAATTCTAAACTTGAATGCAGATTGTTAGAGAATCATTCCAGAAACATTTAGAGGTATGCCAATTCAAAATCCGATTAAGATTACTCTACGATTTAGTTTTTACGGCTAGCATTTAGTTTAATCAACAAATGCGCTCATAAAAAGCAAAAAACATAATTTCAGGAACCAACACAAAAGGTGTGATTCTATTTATTATATTTAATACAGCATGCGATGAGTGCAATGACAAAAAGAGCTTTCAAATCGCTTAGAACAAATCAAAAATCTGAAATGCATTCGTGCCCACACACAAAAGAGCAACAACAAAAACACAACGAGTGCAAATTGTGACGCCCCACTGAAACGAAGCGAGCAAGCGAGATAGCGCCATAATGGCCGCGACATTCAACTTGAACTTTTTGCGCACCTGCTCTCTCGCTCGCTCGCACATAGAAAATAATCAAGATCAAGTTTCTTCCGGCATTTTGCACATTGCAACAATAAAAACTGGAGCTTTGCACACAAAGAGCAAGAGAGAGAGCCCGAGAGCGAAGAGAGCAAGCTTAGAAAGCTTGCATTTGCATTTGAATTGCATGGGTGTGTGTGCATGGCAAGTGCATTTCTGTTATCTCCGCTATGATGTCACTATGCCACCCATTAGCTTGCAAGGGTTAATCGCAAATATTTAAAATAGCTTTTCTAACAAATATATTATTTTAAGAGCTTTGTGTTAATTAATAAGGCATTTATGAACGTATCAACCGTTTTTAGCTAAATAAATGGTATTTCGTATTCGAATGTGCCTACTTTTGAATACTTTGTCATCAATAGGAAGAACATCCTAATTGAACCCCCTACTAAACCCATTCGAAAATAGTGTAATGTAAGTTTTATGAAGAACATAAGTGCGGAATTAAAATATAGTCGAAATGCAGCGCCAAGATATTCGTCTTGCTAAACGTTTCATTTTGCAGTTTTCCCTATCTGGCCAAAATGAAGCAGACTCATTTTCACTCGCTTGGCGTTGGGAAAGCGCCGGCTCGGCCTATGTATGCTATATGTGAAATTCTCGGAAAAGTCGAAAACACACGAGGAGTGCAACAACAACGTCATCGTTGCAAGCATTGAACTCGATTTTGTTTTCATTGCCGCCTGAATTTCTAAAACGCAGCTAATTAGTCGAGAGTGTTTGCGTTGCTGCTGCTGCTGCTGCAGTTGTTGCACTTGCAGCACTGCTGCTTCTTTAGCTGTGTTCCACTTTTCTGGCAGTTTTCCACTTTTCCACCGGCCAATGCTGCGACTGCTGCAGATTTCACACGCGGCCAAGCAATTCATCATAAAAATTATAGTAAACTGCCATCCAATGGCACTGATCAAAAACAGTTGCTATAAACAACAAATTATTAGGCCTAAAATATTTGTACGAGTATGTATATAAAGCTATCGAGAAGCTCCAAATAGATTAGGCAGTAGTAACATACTCTTCTTTATAGACAGGCATAATAAACTTGAATCTATTTTTCCCGGTGTAAGCCAGAAGAAGGCGGCTTAAGCCGATCGAGCATCAGAGTTTTCAGTTGGCAGATGTTTGCTTAAAACCAAATATAAATAAGTTTTTCCAAGTCTAAGTCCAGGCCGCGCCTTGTGTGTTTGTTTAAATAAAATGAAAGTTTTTTTGCTGCACTTTTTGTTGTTTCGCGAATAAGCGCGCGCCAATGTTTGACATACATTGAAACGACTGCAGTCTGTCAGTCGATCACTTAGTCAGTGAGTCAGTTAGTCACCTAGTCACTAACTCGATTGTGTTAGTGGAACACGGCGGAATGGCAGACTTTGTTTAGTCAGCGACTTGCAACGGTCGTTGCCGTTTCGCTTTTGCTGGCCGCTGCATTATGATTTCATTTTCTAATCGAGTTCGTCTTCATCCGCAGCCTCACTTTATATTGCATTTCTATGGTCAACGCGAAAGGCGATGTGCTGCAGAAATAAAATCACGCATACGCCGCGTATGACGAAAGTGAAATAGGCGCGACGACGAAGGCCCATAAAAAGCGGCAGACAAAATAAAGCCAAGTAAAAGAGAAAGAGTAGGCGGCAAGAGAGCGAAAGGCGAAAAAAGTAGACGGAAAGAAATAGAGAGCTAGAACGGTAGCTTCACTTTTTTTTCGGCAGTTCAACAAACTTTGAAACGAACTTGGGTCAACAAACTATGCAAGACCCACGGGGAGATCATTAGAAGATCACCATCAAAAGACGCTGATGATGGCGCTACAGCTGAACCGAATCTTTTGTCTGTGGTACACGCATAAATAAAAAATAACAAGACGGGAGGTCAATGGCAGCTACACTAGCTTCAGAATGCAAAGTGGTGAAGGGACAAGCGCTGTAGAATAAAAGCTACAAAAAAGTGAAAAAGAAACATAAAAATCTTACACAAATAGGTTGGTGGTCATTAAGTGCTGTAACTGCGTTCTTTGACCCCGATTATGATATATTTCTTGAGCCGTATTTGGTTTCCAAAGTCCTTATCATTGACAGTAGTAAATAAATGCGTCAGTATAAATATATATAATCGTTCAATGAATTTATTATGAAAGTCATACATGTACTTACTTCATTTGATATATTTCATCGTATATGCAGTACTACAATTTTAAGAATCTATTAAAAATGCAACATAATATAAAACATAGTTAACGAACCGGCTTGCCGAACTTTATAAGCCGCGCCACCTATGCAAGTAAGTTTGAAACTACATTATGTTTGAGTCACAGCTGAAATTAAACCACCGACCAGAACCGATAGTCCGAACGTCTGCTCGGATATCGATATGATGTGTTGTGTGATGTGTAAAGTGTTTACAGCTTTTCAACATCTGGTCACATTGTACAAAACAAAATATAAATTTGTTGAAATTCCAGCATTTTCTATAAATATGAGCTCGCCAACGAGTAAAAATGTCAGCGAAACGAACGGCAACAAGCCCAAGAAGTCGGGCAAAACGAGTTCGAATACGAAAAGCGGCTCCATGGACACACGCGCCGAGTTGGCGGACCTCATCAAGAAGAAGGCCGAAACATCGGTGAGACATAATATAAACAAACCCGAAATCGCACCACTTTATCATTATTGTGTCGCATGAATGACAGGAACAACTGGCCAACTTGGAGCGACAGATCTACGCCTTCGAGGGCTCCTACCTAGAGGACACGCAACTCTGCGGAAACATCATCCGCGGCTGGGAGCGCTACCTCACCTCCAACAAGGCCACCAATTCCAAGGCCGACAAGCGGAATCGCAAGTTCAAAGAGGCCGAGCGCCTGTTCTCCAAGTCCAGCATTACCTCCATGGCTATATGTAATCGTAAGTGCGGTGTATATAAACCAGTGTCGATTGCTTGTGTGATCTATATATTCTTTGTTGCCAAAAGGGTACAGCTTTTTAGCTATGTGTACCCTTTAGTTGTTAAAATTATTCGTATATTTATTCACCTACAGCTGAGCGCGCCAGCGAATCGGATTCCATCACCAATGAAGACTCCAGCGACAATCAGATCTCAATCAATCAGAACACCACAACGGCCCACGATGGAACCACGACAATCAAGAGCACACCGAAAGATGAAAAGGGTAAGGCAGAACATTAGGGAGCTTTTACTTTAGCGCTGTTCACAAGACAGGAGTCTACGTACTTTCTTTCTACGTACTATTCCCTAATTAAACCTATTTATTTACAGATTCACCCTCGCATCGGAACGAAGGAAGTGTAGTTGGCGGAGTGGTGGCGGGATCTACGAATAGTGGAGGCAACAAGGATCTCCTCGGCACACCCACTTCGAATACCAAGAGTAAACTGTCCACGAACTCCAGTGCGACGGCGAAGAAGAGCGGACACATAAACAAGAAGATTCGACATCGATGATGACTGCTAAACACATAAAGCACTCTTTACGTTCAAAGTTTTAAAATTCAAATTTGTACAAGAAATAAAGCGAATGTAGATTTACAATTTATTTTATGTGCATAAAGATTAGAGCTATATTAACTTTATTACTATCTCATATTTTAAACCATAGAGTGAGTTGTGATAAGCATACAAATTGTTTGAGATCATGTTGTTTTCACACTTTCGACACGAGGTTTGTGAAATATCCTAGAAAGAGACATATGTATTAGAGAATTAGTTACTCGAACTGCGGACTCAAAATGACTTACTGCTCCTTGAATAGGGTAAGAGTTTTGCGCCTCAGAATAAATAACACAAATATAATGATGCCTTGGGACCAGTTGAAGTAGTCAAATACCAGCACAACCATTTCTAATAGTTTTTCGCGTTGCACAAAGTAGTTGAAAATCTCAAAGCTCCACGATATCCCCATTATGGTGAAGAGCAGCAGAAATAGTACGTAGCTGTAACGATAACGAATCCATAGCAGTAATCTTATACTGGCATATTCAACAATTAGAATTAAATTACTTCTGTTTCTCCGACTTCATCCCCAGTTCTCTGCCTTCCTGGAGAGCAAAATTCCTAATAGCCCTCTTGGATTCGCTTAAATGCTTGGCCGTCAGGATAAACATGATAAAGTTGAAGCCAATCAAGATCACCATTGGTCCATAGAAGTAGAGCATTGCAGACCAATTTTCAGCTGAGGATGGAAAGCAAAACATTGGCGTGCTGGGGCCACAAGCCGAATACAAAACAGAACCCACTAAAGATCCAGCAATGGCCATTGCCGCCCATGCAAGGCTTCCAATCGTCGCTCTCCACGAATTCACCAGCCAGAAAGGTGACTCCGGTCAAGACCAAAGGCATTCCCCAGGCGAAGCAGCTGTATCTCAGGAACGCACGATCTGACCGATCGTTCATTGAGGTGAGAAATTTCCAGAGGTGCCGGCTGATGACAGATAGCCAAAAGAACGCAGCCATGACGAAGTAGTATCCCAGGAAACCTGACGCGAATGGTAAAGTGGGTCAAGTTGTGTTAAAAGGTGTCACATCTAACCGTACCTGCTATTTGACAGAAACTCCTCGTCAACTGCCACAGATTAAGGAGTAGGAATAGGAATCCGAAGAACAGGCACACCACGTAGCAGGTAAAACACTTGCCCTCCAAATTCATTAGCTTCTTAACGCACAGGTACACGGCGATTGTAAGAACGAAACATATCAACGATATGGTCATCACTAAAAGGACAAGAAGGATGTCGAACTGAGCAGCTCCCATGCAAACTATGGGTTTCACCTTACCAACGGTCTGTCCCATTCTAAACACCTCTACAGGGCAGTTTTGGGGTACAATTCGAATATTGTATACGCCATTGTTATTAAGAGTAATGTGCTGTAGACAGTACTCCCGCTTGTTCAAATAAGCTTGATCGAGGTGGCGCAGGAAAGTTCCATTCTACAGAGGATCAGCAGGAATAAATCATGCCGAAGAAGTCATATTTTCAAGCAGCCATACCTCAAACAACGTGTACTGAAACTCTTTTTCGCGGTTGTCTACGTAAAACATATTATCACAGGCCTTTGGCAGGTCCCACTGCACTATGAAGTCCTTCTTAAAGTGCCTTTGCACCACGGATCCGTCGGCAAGGGTCACATTTAGAATGGGGTCGAGTAATTTCCGCTCTCTGCTGGTCATGTTGGATTCGCATTGGTTGTTGCCATTCATTATGTGGTCATGTGGGCAGCAAAACCGGACGCACGGCCTGACTTTGCAAACACATCCTCTCATGTGACTCGGCACCTGCTCCTTTTCTCCGTTTCCCAGAAGCTTGAATTCATATTTAGCCGTCAAATGGGCGGGGATGAGCACGCCCTCGTAGAGGTACGATCCATCCGAGAACCTCTCGGCCTCCGTGATATTTACAGTATCAAGGAAGTTGCAGTCGGCAATCTCAGCATTCGAAGGTTGCAGCTTCAGCAAGAGGTATGTAATAAAGGATCCCACAAGTATCATCGTTCAACCAACACGCTAATACTCGTAACTACGGATTTTAACTTCTTTTAAATTAAATGAAAATAAATTTTAATTTAAATTATTTTAAATTAAAGGGGACTACAAAGAGGCAACGACATTACTTTGAGGGTGCTAAGCAACTGACTGGACGAACAGTCCGCCATAACTATATTGCTGTCAAAATCTGTTTATCTGGACATTGGGATGTTGCTCATTTATTACTCAACTCAATAATACTCGACTAATGATAATAATCCATAACAGGAAATGAAAATACTGGAACATAATTTTAAAATGATTCTTTAAGTCGAAATGATATCAATGATAATAATACTTGATAAGCATAGAAAAGAAATTATGAGAAATATATTGAAATATGAAATATTATATGAAATATTATATGAAATATAAATGGAATGCCAGCCAGAAACCAGATACCATGGTCTGAGTAAGCTTTCAAAAAAAAAAGCTTATTGAGATAGCTCTTGAGATAGTTTCGAATTCCCGCCATTTCGATAACACCATGCAATGTGCGGTATTTTTGTAATACTCTTACACACGATAAGTTCCCAGTCACGTTTTCGTTGGCATTCACATTCATACGTTTTCGAGATACAACCCTAAAAGACGAGAAGGGAATTATTTCTGGTGTCGGCAAATTTGTGTGTTTGCCACAAAACTGTTTGAAAACGCAATCTTAGCGAGGGATATTGAACCAGGCCGGCAGAGCGAGGTCACCGGGAAGACGCGCAATCGAGGTCACCACCTGCACAAGCCACGATGGGCAGCAGCGCCACGAAAACCACTGTGCCGTTCCGTGCAATTTGTTTATGTCTGCTGATCGCCAGCTGCTACGTGTCGCTCTCCCAGGCGGATGAGCACAACCACAAGGTGAGTCTGGATGCCATATGCCACATCCCTCGAGCACTGACTACATGATCCACTTTGCCGCGCAGTACAATGACCGGGAGGAGGTGGTGCTTTGGATGAACACGGTGGGCCCCTACCACAATCGGCAGGAGACCTACGCGTACTTCTCCCTCCCGTTTTGCAGTGGCCAAAAGTCGTCGATTTCGCACTACCACGAGACGCTGAGCGAGGCCCTCCAAGGAGTCGAGCTAGAGTTCAGTGGCTACGAGATGGAGTTCAAAAGCGACGCCCCCAAATCGGTCATCTGCATGGTCACCTTGCAGGAGGAGAGCGCCAAGGCGTTCACCTATGCCGTGAAGAACGAGTACTGGTACCAGATGTACATTGATGGCCTGCCGATTTGGGGAAAAGTCGGTGAGCGCGACGAGCGCGATGGCAAGTACTATATCTTCACGCACAAGAAGTTCGCCATTGGCTACAATGGCCAGCAAATTGTGGACATCACCCTGACCACCGAGGGTCGCGAGGAACTCAAGCCGGGCTCCCACATTAACTTCTCCTACGAGGTCAACTGGAATCCCAGCAAGGTGGAGTTCAAGAACCGATTCGACAAGTATCTGGATCCCAACTTCTTCCAGCACAGGGTGTGTATAATAAAAAAGCTAGGATAGAACTTATTTTACTCCACGACTTTAAAATACATGATGATTTATATAAATAGCAAGAGGCAGAGGTCAGCGCAATCTAAAAATTATCTAAAACCATTGCTTTCCATTACTTATTATAAAAAGTTTGGTGACTCCTTTTTTTCTGCAATCTTTTATAGATCCACTGGTTCAGCATCTTCAACAGCTTTATGATGGTCATCTTCTTGGTGGGCTTGGTGTCCATGATTCTGATGCGAACTCTGCGCAAGGATTACGCCCGGTACAGTAAGGACGAGGAGGTCGACGACATGGAGCGCGATCTTGGTGATGAATACGGATGGAAACAGGTGCATGGCGATGTCTTCCGTTCTCCGCCCAACACGCTGCTCTTCTCGGCATTGGTGGGAGCTGGATACCAGCTGATTTCGGTGGTTTTCTGTGTAATCATGTTCGCCATAGTTGGTGAATTGTACACGGAACGCGGCTCCATGCTATCTACGGCTATATTTGTGTATGCCGCCACTTCCCCAATCAATGGATACTTTGGAGGATCACTTTACGCCCGACTGGGTGGACGAATGTGGATCCGGCAGATGCTGGTGTCCGCTTTTACAGTTCCAGTATCTGTCTGCGGCACGGCTTTCCTGATCAACTTCATTGCCATTGGATATCACGCTTCGAGAGCCATCCCCTTTGGAACCATGGTGGCGGTCACCTGCATCTGCCTATTTGTCATCCTGCCCTTGACTCTGGTGGGCACTGTCGTGGGTCGCAACTTGGACGGCCAGCCAGATTTTCCATGCCGCGTCAACGCTGTGCCACGACCTATTCCCGAAAAGAAGTGGTACATGGAGCCGCTGATTATTGTGCTTCTTGGCGGCGTCCTGCCCTTTGGATCCATTTTCATTGAGATGTACTTCATCTTCACCTCCTTTTGGGCGTACAAGATCTACTACGTCTACGGCTTCATGTTGTTGGTGTTCAGCATCCTGACTGTGGTCACGGTGTGCGTCACCATTGTGTGCACCTACTTCCTGCTAAATGCTGAGGATTACCGATGGCATTGGACGAGTTTCATGGCAGCGGGCTCCACGTCCATTTACGTGTACGCCTATTCCTTCTATTACTTCTTCTTTAAAACCAAGTAAGATCCTTTTTACGAAATATTGTCCACATAGTTATATATCATTCATATGCATTCCTTTACAGAATGTTCGGTCTGTTCCAAACGGCCTTCTACTTTGGCTACATGGCACTCTTCAGCGGCGCCTTGGGTATTATCTGCGGCACCGTCGGCTATGTGGGCACGAATCTCTTCGTGCGCAAAATCTATTCCAATGTGAAAATAGACTAATGGACCCTGCGACTGCAACCCGCCCCCAGATCTGTATATCATCCTAATCGATTTACACTTGTATTTATTGCGTAGAGTTTCCGTTCTGTTTCTCAACTTTTGCTCCAGTTGGCTCTCCTCTCTTTTAGGTTTCCCACTTCTCATGTTGGTGTGAAAATGAATGCCAGTCCAATATATTCGCACCAAAGATTATAGATTCAGTTTAACGATGTTTACGCTAATTACATATATTACCTAAAAGAGTTCCTTCGGAATTATAAGTCTAGGCGCTTAAAGTGAAAAAATGTAGGAAAGCAATGTGAATTGCTAGCTCTTTCTATTGCATTTACGTTTGGATAGATTTAAGAGTCATTTATAAATATTTCGCATGAATTTTTGTTTTGTAATCTCTTTTTTTCCAATTTGTTTTGCTTGTCTAAATTACTAACCAAGCTTGCTTACACAAAATATTTGATATATTTCCGAAGATAACTTTTATGTCATATATGTGATTTTCTATTACGTATGCTTCGTTGCATACAGTGTACATCGAGTATTTTATTTGAATTGTTTGCCTAGATAACTTATCAATCTATGCAACTGCAACAAAATGTGACGAACTTGTTTGCGCCAATTAAGTTATGTACGATGCAAGAAATGTGCTGATTAGCAATAGTCGATAATCTAATAATAAATTCAATATAAAGCCAAACAAATTGTTTATTGCAATGTATGCCACTACATTTTGTCCATTATCAGGGAACACACAGATCTCTTCACTTTTACTGCTTTTGATTCACTCAGTAACACTGACCCTCAAATTGTTTTCCACTTACTGGGGGGCAAACAACTTCAACCGGCTTATCTGCCCATTTATTAGGGGGCCAGTTCTCGCATTTCACTTCTTTTTCGCTTTGTTTGGGAGCAACAGGATGGCGGGAGTACTTTGGGATTATTCCATGACAACACCATTGATAAAGCCTTTCGGATTCTTGTCGTTAACTGATGAGGTGTGATTTGGTTCAAGTACCTGAAATATGTTTTTATTACGTATACGACTAATCACTGCAGTGCTTACACAGTGTTATACCCTGAGAAGGTTTGGTAAGGTTCCCAGAATCATATGGCTTGTTTTAGTAAGTACCAGCAACTTTCCAGTTCATTATCAGTACTAGTTTTGTATCTGTACAAAGTACTGTTTAATATAAAGTTTCGTTAGCTAGGTTAGCTTAGATCTGAACACACCCTCAAGATAAGAAGTTTTGTTGTGAAAAAACTAGTTTGAAGAGTATTGAGAGGTTCCAGCAGGTGCCACAAGCCACCCTTCAACCAGATTTAGTCTCCTGCTTATCTGGACTTTCAAGAGGCCCAATGTCATCGGACTGCTAGTGGGCACCTACAGAGTGAACGAGTCCCACTAATGACGCGTGTTTTCGGGGCTTTGTCTCGTCAATGGAATGCTTAGATAAGTCGGAAATGTCGCAGAGCCTTTTCATTTCCATCCGTGGTGGAGTGGAAACTGATTGGAAACATATTGATTTCGTAATTTATGCTAATTCTGGGCAATGGAAACTGAAAAGGCGCTTGGGATTATCTCCCCAGAGTTTCCGTTCCGGTGAAATGCGATGAGTTTTGAAGCGATTCAAAAGTCTGGGTGTCATTTTGATGGGCATCGCCCACATTTGGTCAACCAGAAATTTTAAAATCTGATCGCTGTTTACGACTTGATAGACACTTGATGTATTTTTGAACTGGTCCCGCTGATTGGGGGCCAAGAATCGAGAACCCTGCTGACCCAGTTTAAAGGCTTGTTTCGGTCCTAATGATGTTTGTGTATCTTGTTGCATAAATTATCATAAATGTAAATGCACCTGATGACATTTCCCCCTTCAATGGTTAAGAACAGTTATAGAGGTGCGGGAACAGTTATAGAGGTGTGTTTTCTGTTCGATCTAGAGATTATTTTGTATTGGACTCGAGGTCTTCAGCTTATAAAAGCAGAAGTCGAGTTCTTGGCTCAGCTCAGTCCGATCTGAAGAGATATCCGAAGTGCATCATGAGTTTTCTGGGACTCTTGGCTTTCCTGGTTTCGGGTAAGTTTATAAAATATTTATATTATTATTATATTTTCTTACCATATTGGAATACAATATTTTCCTTCAGGTTTGTGTTCTACCGCCCAGGCGTCGCTGGTGAAGTGCTCTTGTGATCCTGGTCCACAGGGAGAACGAGGACCTCCAGGACCGCCCGGACCTCCTGGCAACCAGATCGGCCTTTCTGGCGGTGGATCTGGCTACTGGGGTTATCCACCCACAGGTCCTTACCCCCCAAATCTGCCTTTCCTTCAGGGACCTAGAGGCCTACCAGGACCGCCGGGTCCTCCTGGATATTGTTTCCCATGCCCGGCTGCTCCACCATTGAGAACCTTTCCGCCGCCTGGAGTTCCTGTTCCGCCTTTCATTTCCACCCCAGCTGGCGGCGGATTTGGAGGAGCCTCTGCACTGACCACCGCCGTGGGCAACATCATTGTGATTCCGGGAGGTGCAGGAACGGGATTAGCTGGCCGCGCTCAGTTCTTCCACATTACACCAGATGGTCAGGTAATGCAGATCGATCGACCGCAGAATCTGCCCAGTGAACTATTCGATACACCAGTGAGCCAAGGAGCCGGTGCGCCCATTCCTCCACCTCAACCCACATCGTCATCTCTGTCGGGGATCACACCACCAGCAGTTCAGGTGCCGCCCACTCAGCCCACACCCAGCGATCCGGGAACTCAGCAGCCCACACTATTGCCCGAGAATGTAGAGGAAACTGTGTTCGCGGTGGGCAACCGCAACGACTTCCTGCGAGGTAGCTCCGATGCCAGCGACTGGAGAAGGATTCTCCTCCTGGGAGAGCGACCCACCGATGGCCTACACAAGGGCCAGTCCGTCCAGCAGCCTAATCCCAACCAGCTCGAGAGCAGCGTGGAGAACTTTCAGAGGGCTCTGGTCGAACTGAAGGAGAAGTATGCCACGCTCATCCAACCGCGCACCTCGAACCAATATGCAGTCATCATTTGAAGGGAATACTTAAGATTAAAGTTAGTTGAATAATTTAACAAAAACGGTACTGATAATATCTAAACAGAAGATAAATTACCTTTTGATATGGGAGAAGATTTTTTAAGATGTCTCTTTGTGTTTCCTTATTTATTTGTGTGACTTGTTATGTCGAACTGGTTCTCAAGTGTTATTCGTTCAAACAAATTACGATATCATTTCTTGGTATGTGCGGATAAAATTAGAAACACATATTCGGGGTATTCCCCAATAGATTACGCATGATAATTGTCAACAATGAATTTGCGTTAAATAATATACGTACATACATAAGTACACGAGATTCTCAAGAAAAATTCAATTGCCATAAACTCACGATGCCTAAATAAGATTTTTATTAGCATATTAAGCGCCGGTATTTGACGTTTTTTAGACCAGTCTACCCATTTTAGAAAGTTAATAAGAATTTAGGGTACCTACCCAATCAATTTGATTCGAATCAAATTTCATTTCCTGCAAATAAATTGTATTTAGTGGCAGCCAAATTTTTAGATAGACCTAAAATAGATTTACCTACTTGATAGAAATAAAATTCCTTGAAAGCGATAGGTAAACAATTGTCGAGTCCATGGGATTCACTTTTCAATAAAGAAAAGCGATAATTAAATTTCTTAGAATTTGTGATATGGCAATCACAGATATAAACAGATTTTTTAGAGATGGAAGTCCATCCTTTTGTTGCGTCATTTAGTCTATACACTCTCAAAAAGTTTAACATTTATCACACATTAACGCTAATATTTAATCAGAAGTACAAATATATTTTTTTAAAAGAGTTTTTTTTTCCGCAAGGAATGCCCCATGAATAGCAAAGTCCAATATATTTGTTTGGCTCCACAAAGCGTACTATCAAGATCTTAGAATCTAGAAATGGAAAAGTACCCAATCGAAAGTATGGTAGATAAAAATTCAAAAGCAAATTAATTTCTCATTTTTCAGTTCAAAGTGAAAATATAAATGGTTCTTATTAATATAATCAGATTTAATCGGGCTCTTATTGTCTGCTTATAAGCAGACACTATAAGTACATTTGGTTTTAACATTGATAGGAAAACGTTATTGAAGTATAGGATTTAGAAGTCCCTGATCGAATATCTTTTCTCGAGAGCCGCGTGTTCCAGCACCTGTCAAATGTTGAGTATTCATTTAAAACGATAAGGCGTACGTGAGAATCGTCTAGTGGATGTGCTAATTAAGAGTCCTTCTGTGTGTCAATCAGCTCGTGGTTGCGAATCCTAATCGCAAGCGGTTAGTCCATCGCCCACGCAGGCAGCAAATGCCATCATGTGGGGAATGGTGTTCTGCTCGTAGACGCCGGTGAAGAGATGTGCCCAGGGTCCAGAGGCAAAGACACCCACATCCTCACCGCCATGGGTTTCCGATTCCAGGGGCACCATCGCGGGGAAGAGCTGATCGAAGTCTCCGATGGTGGGCAGACTGGTGGGATCCTCACGCTCGTGGGTCTCCGTGTTGTAAAAGTCCTGGAAACTCTTGCCGTTGGCATAGCTCAAGGCCAGATAGGGTTTGCCGTCCGTGCCCTTCGCCTTGGCAGCTCCAAAGATGTCGCTTCCTCGAGGTTGGTAGCCGGAGACACTGAAGGTGTGCGAGTGATCCGAGGTGACCACAATGAGGGTCTCCTCCGGATTGGTCATCTGCCTTGCCTTCTTGACCGCCTTCGAGAGTTCAGCGGTCTCATCCAAGGCAATCCGTGCCATTGTTTCGTGGTGGCTAATGTCAATCTTACCTCCCTCTACGAAAAGGAAGTAGCCTTCCTCCTCGGTTTCCAGTACTTCAATAGCCTTCTGTGTCATCTCCTCCAAGGTGGGCTCTTTGTTATCCGGATCGTCCAGCTGCTGCAGGTGATAGTGCAGATGGCTCTTGCTGAACAAACCCAACAATCGTCCGGTTTCAGTGGCATTCACCTTGAGCAACTTCTTCTGCGTTTTCACAAAGGTGTTGCCCGCGTCCAAGGCCTCGAATTCCTCGACGAGATTGCGTCCATCCGTGCGCCGTCCCTTGTCGTAGTGCTCCGGACTGTAGAAGCTTCGCTTGCCTCCACCCAGCATGACCTTGAGTTTACTGCCCACCTCGCCGTGGATCAACTGGACAGCTATGTCCTGGAGTCCCTCCGACAGCTCACCGCAGGCCTCCTCCAGGACAGCGTTGTTCTCCCATTCGCGATCGGCGACATGGGCATAGACTCCGGATGGCGAGGCGTGGGTCACTCGGGTGGTGGTCACCAGTCCAGCAGCTTTGCCCGCATCCATGGCCCATTTTCCCAGGGAGAAGACATGGTTCGATTCATCGGCCATCGCCGCACAGTCGCCTCGTTTCACATGCGCATTGACGCCGATGGTTCCGTAGTTCGCCTTCACTCCGCAAAGGTATGAGGTTGAGGTACAGGCGCTATCGGGGACTATTTTGTCCACCGAATAGGTTTTCGATAGCCCAGTGAAGGGGAATTCCTCGAAGGAGAGCTTCAGCTCCTCGCCTCCAATGTAACTCCTAGCCGCTGCCAGAGTAGCCAGTCCCATGCCATCGCCCAAAAACAATATAATGTTCTTGGCCTTCTTGGTATTTCTCACAAACTCCAACTTCTCGCGGATGAGTTTCTTGCTGGCCGAGTGCCAGAACTCCTGGGTTTCCTCGCCGGAAATCGTACGCAGTCTGGGACTAGTGGGCAGGTGTGGATGCATTCGCTCCTCGTCCACGGGCGCCTTTCCAGGAACCGCTGCACCCAAAACCACGGCCAGCAGACCGAGGCCAATCAAGAACTTAAGACTCAGCATTTTCGAGATGCTTTCACCGTGCCAGCCAAGTGAATACTGTACTCCGTGGTTCCATACCACCCATTAATATACCATCAGGTGCAGCTCGTGTGATCGGGATCGGGATCGGGTAATTTACGACACCTTCTTACCCAGACCGTGATACTCACGTTTTTAGGCACTCGAGATAATTAATCGATCGCCACTTTAGATTGCTCAAATCACAAAAACAATCACCTATGCGGCGTATGTATATTACAGGAAGACCGCTTTGAAAAACCGGAGGCTATATAACCGGGCCATTTCGTCAGTTTTGGCCAGTCTCGCGGTCACTCCCGAACGGAGCATTTCTCAGTTTAAAGTCACCGCCCAAGTCAAGTCCCAAGATGGTAAAGAGTAGCCTTATCTTGTGCTTCGTCGCTCTCCTGGTCGTCCAGGCTCGGAGTGATCTAGCCGATGACCAAGAACACGGTAAGTGGAACCGAACGGTATTACGAGGTGAACTGCCGAACGAATCCGATTGGCCAAGACCCAGCTTATCTACAGCCAACTGGAAAGCTCTCTCGTCGTATCGCCTATTCGACTTAGTCTATTCGACTTGGCTAATCTAGAGCTATTTTAAAAAGCATTCAGTCATCGAGTAGCTGCATAATAGTTTATGACTGAACTGTTCACGTGAAGTCATATTAATGATATGGGGCCATTCCCATTAATAGATTTATGTTCAACAAGTTTAGATTCTTGAATTCGATTAAGCGGATCAGGTACTAAACGCTTTTATAGGCTTCGACTGGTAGTTATAAACTAAAAATAAACTATAAATTATGAACCAAGAAGGAAACAACGAATTTTTAATAATTGTTCTTGTTAGAAAAGAATGGTAAAATTGTTACTACAAGAATGAAAACAAAAGGTTGTATTTCCTTCCTGTATAGAAGCTTAAGTACTAAAATCTAATGTGTAATGATGAGTGCACCAAAATCAGCTGAAACGTTTTTAACACGTTTTATTAAGTTATCAAGCGATAGGGTGGTAGCCGAAACACCATAAATAGCTATAATTAAAACTGATTTATAGATCTGCTCGAGATAGGCTGTTTACCACTTCAAAAATTAGTTTTATTGGACCAATTTTCCCGCCGATTAGTTGCTAACCCAAAGTCCGGACTTTACAGCCCAACATCCCCGTCTGCAATCATCACGCGACTTCGAGGCCCTCGACGAGGAGCTGGAAACACGATTCTGGCATGATAAGGCCCAATCGATTCTGGCCGATAAGCTGGCCAGCTATAAGAAGCTCAATGAGAATCGCGCCAAGAACGTGATCCTATTTTTAGGCGATGGCATGTCCGTTCATACGATCGCAGCCACACGTGCTTTCATGGGCGATAGCAACAAGCAGGTCTTCTTCGAGAAATTCCCCTACTTGGGTCTGTCCAAGACCTATGCCGTCAATGAGCGTACTCCGGACTCGGCCAACACAGCTACCGCCTACTTGACCGGAGTCAAGGCCAACTATGGCACCATTGGAGTCAATGCCCAGGTGCAGAGGGGCGATTGTGTGACCAACTCGAGTACCCATGTCCAGAGCATTGGTCAGTGGGCCCAGGAGGCCGGAAAGTGGGCCGGTGTGGTGACCACCGCCCGGGTGACACACGCTTCCCCAGCCGGAGTTTATGCCCACGTTGCCGAGCGGAGTTGGGAGCACGATGGTGAGATTATCAGCTCCAAATGCAGTCCCGACATCAACACGGATATTGCTCGCCAGCTGGTGGAATGGCCAGTGGGTCAGGAACTGCGCGTCATCATGGGCGGCGGTCGATCCTATTTCCGGGATCAGTCCCAGCACGATGAGATCGGCGTTTCGGGCCTGCGAACCGATGGTCGCGATCTGATCGACGATTGGCAAAAGATCAAGAAGCAGCAGGGAGCGGAGGGCAAGTACGTCTGGTCACTGAAGGGCTTGAAGGAAACCGACCTCAGCAAGACGGACTATCTGCTTGGCCTCTTCGACACCTCCCACATGCCCTACCATGGCGATCGTCGGCGCACCCATTATGAAGATGCAGAGCCATCCCTTTCGGACATGACGGAAGCCGCCATCAATATGCTCAGCAAGAACGAGAAGGGTTACTTCCTGTTCGTTGAGAGTGGACGCATCGACATGGCCCATCACGCCACCAAGGCGAGGAAGGCTCTGGAGGATACCGAGGAATTCGCGGCTGCCGTGGAATTGGCTAGGAAAATGACCGACGCGGAGGACACACTAATTGTGGTGACTTCGGATCACTCGCACACCATGTCTATCAACGGCTATCCGGTAAGAAAGTAACTCAAATTTCAAGAAACCAAAATAACTCGTAAACTATGTGCTTCTATCTCCTATTCAGTACCGCCGACAGAACATCCTTTCACTAGCCCCCAATCTGGGCAATGATGAGCTGCCCTTTACCATCTTGTCCTATGCTAATGGTCCGGGCTTCGCTGAAACCTACAGTCCCAAAGATGGACGCATCGATCTTTCCCATGCGGACACAACGAAAGCAGACTTCGAGTTCCAGGCCACAGTGCCCTTGAGCAGTGAAACCCACGGCGCTGAGGATGTGGGTGTCTTTGCCTCCGGTCCCTTCGAGCACCTTTTCACCGGCAACTATGAGCAGAGTTCCATCCCAGCCATGATGGCTTATGCCGCCAACATTGGACCATTTGCCAAGGACAAGATTAACGAGCAATAAAGTCCCAACTACAGTCGCATACTCATAAGGAATACTCAATAAATACTTAAGGGGAAAACCAAATGTTACGCTGGTCATTCCCGGCCAGTTAAATATACAAATATACTTCTCGCAATTTTCCACCAAAAGGTATTCAGGTGCTCGGAGGAGGGCTGGGGATCCCAGGGGCACTGGGGTCTTTCTTGCTGACGGATATTAAGCGGGCCACGCGAAGGCGGCAACTAAAGCTGTAAACAATTTTTGAGCTTGAGCAAATAAATCCGGCAAATGGCTGTATCAGCAATTTGGCAAGTACATGTTTCAGTTACTTGGGACTTTCAGTCCGTTGAATTGCGTTAATCTGAGCTCTCAGAGCAGCAGGAACCAAGTCGTTCTAATAAATGTGTAATTCAAATAAATTCCAATCTCGCCAACGGACATTTGCATCCTGATTATTCATGTCAACCTTCGAATGGGAAAAACAAATGCTTATAGCCAAAACAAACAGGTAGCAAACAAGATAATGGACAGGTAATGTCTCAGCCCGCAGATGGCAGAGCAGTTTTCCCGAGGGATCTGGGCAAGTCTGGCCTACAGTTTACCTGGCTACTGGAGTCGCTTGGCCATCGTTAGTTGTGTTTCGTGCTTCCTACTTGCAAGAGCTCAGCAAAAATGCTGGCTTTTTTGATTTACACTATCTTGGCGATTTTACTGAGTGTCGTGGCCACGTCCTACATATGCATTCTATATGAAGTCAAACGCCGCGTAATTCAGCTCGTTAAAACAAAGAAGTCAACTGAAGTCCATCACATAGCTTATCAAAAGTTTAATCAGGCTCCTGGGCCGCGACCATGGCCCATTATTGGGAATCTTCATCTGCTGGATCGATATAGAGACAGTCCCTTTGCGGGATTTACGGCGTTGTCAAGACAGTACGGAGACATTTACTCCTTGACTTTTGGACACACCCGCTGTTTGGTGGTGAACAACTTGGAGCTGATCCGCGAGGTGCTCAACCAAAATGGCAAGGTGATGAGCGGGCGGCCGGACTTCATACGATATCATAAACTATTTGGAGGCGAGCGGAGCAATTCGCTGGCACTCTGCGATTGGTCACAGCTGCAGCAGAAGAGAAGGAATCTCGCCCGACGCCACTGCTCGCCCAGGGAGTCCTCCTCCTTCTACATGAAAATGTCCCAAATTGGCTGCGAGGAAATGGAACACTGGAATCGGGAGCTGAGCAACCACCTGGTCCCTGGAGAACCGATCAAAATAAAGCCTCTGATTCTCAAGGCCTGCGGAAATATGTTTAGTCAGTACATGTGCTCTATGAGGTTTGACTACGATGATCTGGATTTCCAACTGATTGTTCAATACTTCGATGAGATATTCTGGGAGATCAATCAGGGACATCCGCTAGATTTTCTACCCTGGCTATGTCCCTTCTACCAGCGACACCTGAACAAGATCATCAACTGGTCCTCGACCATCAGGCAATTCATAATGAACAGGATTATCCGACATCGGGAGCTGAACATCGATTTGGATGAGCCAGATCGGGATTTTACAGATGCCCTACTTAAAAGCCTGATTGAAGATAAGGATGTCTCCCGGAACACGATCATCTTTATGCTGGAGGACTTCATTGGCGGACACTCAGCGGTTGGAAATCTCGTGATGCTAGTGCTGGCCTATATAGCCAAGAATCCGGATATTGGAAGAAGAATCCAAGGGGAAATAGACACAATTACAGCAGAGGAAAAGAGGCCAATTAATTTACTGGATATGAATGCAATGCCGTACACGATGGCGACGATTTTTGAGGTGCTGCGATATTCATCCTCTCCAATTGTTCCCCATGTGGCCACCGAGGACACAGTGATCTCTGGCTACGGGGTGACCAAGGGCACCATTGTGTTCATCAACAATTATGTGCTGAACTCCAGCGAGAACAACTGGGTAAATCCTACAGAATTTAATCCATTCAGATTTTTGGAAACATCAAAGGGACCAAACACGAACAATTTTAAAGGTTCTGATTCCGGCATCGAAAGTGATAATGAAAAACTTCAACTAAAGAGGAATATTCCCCATTTTCTGCCCTTTAGCATCGGGAAGCGGACTTGCATCGGCCAGAATTTGGTGAGGGGCTTCGGTTTCCTGGTCCTGGTCAACGTAATGCAGAGATATGATATCAGCAGTCATGATCTTTCGACGATTAAGATCAGTCCGGAGAGTTTGGCACTGCCTGCCGATTGCTTTCCATTGGTCTTGACACCCAGAAAATAATAAATTGCCAATAGATTTGATTATTGGACAAATCTCTCTAAGCGCTAGCAACTAAAGTATATAACAGAAATAGCTCAATATATAAAATCGATCCAAAATAAGATTACTGCAATATCTTCTATCGAACATAAGAAATAAGCTGAATCAAATAGTAAAACTATTTTACTGTTGAGTATATTTTCTATTATTCCACTAACGCAAATACAAAACTTGTATTTCATGTTTATATTTTGTACGATACCATACACGCAAAGTCTTACAGCTGCTCACCATACTATAAAAATTTCACATACATTCGATTCTTGCGGATCTTAATGTTAGATTAATTCGTTAAGAACTTCGTTATAATAAATGACTCAAATATGTTTACTGTGTACGCCGATTGTTAATTCAAGTATAATTCTTAAGCGAACTATTTACATTTTTTATTTTCTTTTAGAAATCAATAAACGTGGTCCGAGTTGGATCATTTATAAATGACATAGAAACTTAAAGCTGAATAAACCTAAATCGACCTCTATGAATAAATGCAACTTGTTTACAAATGGTCAATTAAAAAAACAAAATATTTAGAAAATTAATCTAAATGTAGGTATAAAGGATGCACTTGTTTATAATTAAAGATAATTACCTAAAAAAAAAACACTATTATTAAAAAAAATCAAACTAGCAAAATACGGATCTACTACTGGGTCTCCACAAGGAGCTGCGGCTTAACGTCCACCACAGGCTGTTCGGCTGTCTCTGTTCCCACCTCCTTGAGATCATCGCTAATCTCCTCCGGACTGGCAGTTCCGCATACGTCATCAACGTCCAAGGTCTTGGGCAGCGGTCCCAACTTCTTTAGTATATCCACTGGCATTATCTCCTTTATAGTGGGCACCGAATTCACAGTGAATTGAGACGGCAGTTCGGGTAGAGTCGGCAGCTCGGGCAGGGGTGGTGGTGTGAAGTAAGGAGTTTTCATCGCGGGAGGTGGCGTTGAGTTAGTAGAAACAGGCAAGGGCACAGGCAGCGGCACTGGAACAGGAACTGGAACAGGTGATGGTACCATTGCAGCCGGCTGAGTATAACCCTGATAACCACTTCCATCCAACACGGGTATGGGTTGTGGTAGCACATTAACAGGCACAGGAGAAAGTACAGCTCCACTTGGCATTGGCGGTGGACCACTCAGGTAATAGGGCATCCCATCGGGTACAGGCATGGGCATCGGTAGCGGCGGCGGAGGATGTTTGCTGAAGAATTCCTTAAGCATTCCTTTTGTGACAGCATCGACATGTGGAGGTAAAATTGGCGGGCGGTGACGCAGAAATCCTGGAGGAATCTGAGGCAGGCGGCCGGTCTTCATGAGCATGGCAAAATGCTTGGGATCGAAAGGAGGGCGGTTGGGTGAACGTAGCATTCGTGTGTGCGTCTTCACTATTGCACCTTTGAAAGGATCAAAATGAAAGTATCGGAACTTCGGTTTCTTCTGCACCAAAACAGGCTTTTCTAGATTTGCTGGCTTGGTGGTCAGTGGCGGCGGTGGTGGAGGTAACACAAGTAACTCATCGCGGATCTGTTGCAGCTTGGCGGCGGCTTGGGTGCGACGCTCTTGATATTTCCGCAGGGCACGTTCCACCGCCATTCCAACGACCGCGCGGTCTTCGTTCTCGCTCTCGTAAGTGGGCAGCACGTTATCCACGAAATTTACGCCTCTCCGCTTTGGTTTACTGAAAAAAATTATATTATTATTATTTTTATATACATATATTGAGAACTCTGTCTTACCTCATGTCCTCCACTGGTTCATCTATCGCAGCTGCCACAGTGCTCTTCTCCGCTTCCATTATATCATCACCGGAAGGTACTATCTCCAAAACGTTTCCTTTTTGTACGGCCACCGGCATCACTGACGCCGAGGGCACCATCGATGGAATTGCCTCCATTGGCGCTATAGGAACAAGGGATTCTATGGGCATCATCGGCGCCATAGGTAGTTCCCTAAGAACGGATCCAGATGGCTGAGGTGAGGAAGCTACTTCGCCCATATAATCCCCATATGTATTCGAATAATCTTCAGAGTACTGGGCATACGCTTGTTCCATGTTGTATGCGGAGTCCATGTAGGCGGCGTATGCGTCATAGCCCTCACCCATCGTATCCTGATCTTCCTGCTGCATCAATGACATATTGTAGTAGTAGGCAGCTGCTTCCATGCCCTGATTCTCCTCAAAATAATTTGCGAAGGCCCCTTCTACGGACGATCGAGATCTTGGTGATATAGACCGTGATCTGGACCTGGAGAACGATCTCCTTCGTGTTTTGGACCAACTGCGTCTCATCGGCGGCGATGGTGGTTTGAAGGGTAAGGGGGAACGCGAGCGAGACAAGCGATCACGTTCTCGATCTCGGCTTAGTGAGTGACGACGGCGGGAATGAGGAGGTGACCGTGGTCCAGCCAATTTTGGTGGAATAGGAGATAATGAACTGCGTTTTCTATGTCCTGTTGTTGACGGACGTCTTCTTCTATTTGGACTCCTACTGCGCGTTCGACTCCTTGTTAAGCTTCTACTATGACTTCTCCCCATCTTAGTTCCTCCGACTGTAACTCCTATTCGTTTAGCGTATCTTGGACCCCTTCTGGGCGATGGATGACGCCGACGCCTGGGGCTGGGAGTACGGGACTTGGCCCTCGAGCCGCGACGACGGGCCCTATTTCTAGAAATAGAACGGGACCGGGATCGTCGACGACTAGCTGCTGGTGGTGGTGGACTTCTTAGCTTGGGCTTAGATCGGTATTCGACAATGGTGGGTTTTACAATAGCAATCTCCTTTGCTGGCTTAGGCGGCTCCGCCTTGGATGGTTCTGGTAGATCTGGTTCATCCTTGTCGAAAATTACAGATTTTCTTGTTAGTTTCAATGGCGAGATGGTCAATTTGATGGCTTCCCGATTGGCACTAAAGATGTTGTTAACAGGAAAGACTGTCTCCTTAACTACTTCTTGTGCCTGAACAGTTTCTTGTTCATCGACTGGCTGCTGATCCTCACTGGAATTGCTTTTAAGTTCCTGTTTGCGATATTTATCCATGATTGCGTTGCGCTGCATTAGAAATAAGGATTCCATTTTTAGCAGTTCTTCGGAGATCTCATCGCCCGCATCATAGTTTTCGCGCATCATCTGAATCCTAGCCAGATTGTCCTCAAGGCTCTTTAGTTTGCGAAGGTCCTTGCTAACATTGTTTTTCTTTTGTAGCTGATCCTTACCAGGGTTGTCATCTTGATTTGTGTTGCAATTACCTGATGCTGTAACCGATTCATCATTCGAAGAGTTTTCATTGGCTTCGTCGTCCTCTGAGCTGGAGTCCTCCTCTGTGTCGCTACTGCTGCTACTTGTTGAGGAAGTCTCGGTACCCGAGGAACTTTCTTCGGCTGTGGAATTGCTCAAGGAGCTATTCTTAGAGGTGTCCAGCGTTTCCGACTCCAAATGCTCGGTGGACATCTTAATACTATTCATGAATTTGTCATATAGTTCATGGATGTTGCTCGTGGGCAGCTTCGCATCTTTGGATCGCGGAGGAGGTGTGCTGTTTGCGTTCCACAGAGCATTGGAGTCATCATCATCGCCATTAAATTGAGAAGCTATTGGAGGCAAGGGTGTAGCGTTAAGAGATGCGTTTGCATTTGGAGCGGGAGTAGGAGTAACAGGAGGGGCGTTCTTTGGCATACTGGCCATTGAATCGTCGTTTTCCCAGTTGTCGATGTAGTCATCCGTATCAGGACTTTCTTGCTCTTTTGCGGGTGGAGGAGCATTGGCCGCCACTGCACCGTTTCTAACCAGAACATCGCGCCCCATGGGTCGGGGAGGCGTGGCATTGCGTTCGATTTTTATGGTGGTTCGAGAGTAGTTCATTTGCTGAGGCGGGGGAGTAAGATCTTTTTCCTTTTTAATGCTGAATTTTGTATACTCATCACTTCGTCTTGGCTGGGATCCAGTTTGATGACTGCCATGTAATTGATTTCTATCGTTTTCTAGATCTCTATCCCAATCCTCAACATCACTATCGTGTCTTTGAAGTCGCCTCTCCTTGCTTGAAGGGCGTGAGGAAGATTTCCTCCCGCTTAATACTGATTCGCGTTTGAAAGGATTTATATGTCTTGGTTGGCTTATGTGATGATCGACCTCTGCCCTACCACTAGCAGATCTATTATGCCTGCTATTTGGAACGGACTCAGCTTTAATCTCTTTGGGAGCCTCTTTTCTCTCTTTGTATTCATTAGTGCGACGGAACAACTGCTCTTTTGTAGCCAGTAGAGCATCCAAATGCAAATCGCTGTCTTCGAGCAGGGCGCCAATCCTACTGTGAATTTCACTGGCCTTGAGAAGAGGAGCCAGTTTGTCGGCTTTAGCGACTGGAACAATAGGAATGGACTTAAACGGCGGCGTAGTACTTCTTTCAATAGTTGCAGCTGGAGCTGAAACGGCAGTGTTTACTCGTGGAGGTGAATCGGCGAAAATATCAAAATCCTTGGGCTTTGCGTTATTACCAATAACAGTCTGAGATATCTGAACTTGTGGTGGTGTCATTGGGGGAGTTCCTTCTCTGCTCTCCCAAGATGAAGGCGCCTGGTTTATTTTTCTTGAGTTGTGATCGCTTGCTATTGCACTTTCACTGTAGGAAACATGCGGCGTGCTTGATCTCTTGGACCTATCCAATCCATTTTCCTTCTGCGGATCCATGCATTTTTCTTGATATCTTTCTTTAGTCGTTTCCCGCGAACGCCCCCTTACTTTGTCCTTGTCGCTCTGTTTTGGACATTTCGTTACTGATTTTTCTCTCGATCGCTTTGTTTGCTTATCCTTGGAACGTTCGTCTGATTTTTCTACTAATTGTCCCAACAGTTTGTCCCTTTTACGATCGGATGGCATTTCTTTTGAATGTTCTATTGCATTTATTATTTTTGTTTCTTGTTTGTTGTCTGGTGACTTATTCTGAGTTCTTCCATGCAGTCTTTCCTTAGAATGGTTTCTATCTTTTTCTTTGGAACCCTCTCGAAGCTTTTTGATTGCGTTTTGCTCATTCGTATCCTTATTTTTGTCCTTGGATTCGTTTCTTTTTTCGCTATGCTCTTTAGATTTTTCCTTCAGCTTTTCCTTATCGCCTAGCCTTTCCATGGTTTTTTCTCGACGCTTATCCCTGGATCTAGACCTTTTCTTCGATTTCGCTCTGGTGTGTTCCACATCCTTTCCTCTGCTTTGATCTCTGGCTTGTGATTTTTCGCGTGTTTTAGTCCTCGCCTTATCGCTCTCCCTAGATCCGTCTTTGGTTTTACCTCTGGATTGATCTCTTTCCTGGGACTTTCCACTTACTATAGTTCTAAGCTCACCTCCAGTTTCATCCTTTTCTGTAGATAGAGTCATATTTTTTGCTCTATTATGATTTTTATCTTGGGATCTTTCTCTACTTTTCCGCCGAGACAAATCTCTATCTCTTGATGTTTCTCTTCCTTTTCCTCTGCTTTCATCC